GATGTTCTCTCCTTGGAAAAGGAGGCACAGCGCTCATCCCAGAGCTCAGCTGGGAGCTGGAGAGGCCAGAACATCTTCTCCTGCTCCTGAGGAAGCCAGGACTGGTGGGAGGGGCTGGCCAAGAGGCAGCCTGGGCAGAGCCAGGGCCGTGGAGGGACATCTGGATTTGGGTCAGGAGAAACCAACTGTCTGACCTTGGGCAAGCGTCTCTCCACCTGTACCACCCAGACCTGTCCAGCTCTGACATCCCATGACTCTTATTATAGTTGTTACAACATGCTTCTCAGATTCAGCTGGTCTTTTATGCATTTTTAATAAGCCAAGGTCAATGTTATCACCCAAAGTTGATGGCAATCTTTTCTTTATGTAGCTGATATCTAAAAATATCCCTTCCTTGGGCCAGCGGTGTAGAGTACACTCCTGACTGCATACAGCTGGGGTGCGCCTCTCCAGCTAGCTCAGTGGGATGTCAAATTGGAATTTAGAAGAAGAAAATGAAAACCTTCCAAGGTCAAATACATTTTGCAGAAAAATTTTTGTTAGATAAATTTAAATAGGTTTCTTCCCTGCAGGACTTGTCAGAGCCTTTAATGTGCTAATTTGGGTTGTAGCCCTGGGTGGAAGGGGTCAGGGAGCAGGGTATGGGGGGGATTTGGAGTCTATCATATGCTTGACCAAAAAGGTTTGAGCACAGGACAGAGAACAGTAGTGTACCCAGGAAGAAGAGCCCCCAGTGCCAGCAGGTACCTGCCAGCCTACTCTGTGCCTATCCCAGAATGGAGCACATATCTGTGCCTCGCCCAGAGCGGAGCACATAGTAGGCCCATAGCTCACATGTGGTGGTGGAGGGCTTCAAACTCTGGTGAAAGAGGGAACGGGCTTTTTCATGCTGCATTTGCAGTGAACCCTCCATAGGGTTAGTGTCCAGATGGTAAGGGGAGATCGGAATTAAATAACTCCGTCTTCAGCGACAACTGATGCCCTGGGCCAGCGCCTTGCTCTGCACTGGAGTCATGTTCCCAGGAATCCAGGAGACATCCCTTGTCCTGGGAAATGAGCAGCACAGATAGGTGGCTGGTGTGGAATGAGAGCAGTGGTTGCCAGAACCCTCCCTCAACCCACTGCCACCCACCCCCTTCCCCCTGGCGCAGGCTGTGTGCACAGCCCCTCACTTCCCTGCCTGGGCTCTTATCCGCAGACAAATTACTCTCCATGGAGTAGCCAGGGTCTTGCCTAAAGCTCTTGCCCCTTTCTAGAAGGTTCTCTCCTTCTGGCCTGGTAACTTTTGATTCTCTTTCAGGTCTTAGTTTAAAACTCTTCTTCCCAGAAACCCACCCTGCTCCCCCAGACCATGTCAAGACCCCTCCCCGCCAATCCTTTCTCCTTTGTGTGACATGTGGGCACTTATACCAACTGAAATGAACAATGGAAGATTTGTGTGATTATCATTTTTAATCAAGAGACTATTTCTAGAACAGTTTTAGGTTTACGGAATACTAAACAGATAGCACAGAAAGTTTACCCCTTCTCCCCCACTCAACTTCTCCTGTTATGAATATCTCTCATTAGTGGGGGGCATTTGTTACAATTATGGGCAGACCTTGATACATTATCATTAACTAGAGCCTCTAGTTTACATCATGGTTCACTCTGTTGGATGGTTCTGTGGGCTTCATCATACTATGTGCGTCTGTCATTAGAGCATCACTAGGAGTTTCACTGTCCTGAACATCCCCCGGGCTCCTCCTGTCTATCTGCTCTCCCTGCTCCCTCAAATCACTGATTTTTTCTAGACCCTCTGTGCTCCGCCACAACAGGCTCTCATCTGCTTTGCTGACCATTATACTCACGGTTCTTAGCTCAGAGCCTGCCACATAACAGGTGCCCTATAAATATTTTTCTTTGCATATTTTAATAAAAAGAAGATCCTGCTAAACCCGTTGTTCTGCAATTTGCTTTTTCCAAATATTGACAATATGTCTTGGAAATCTTCCCATTCCCATATCAGACATAGAGCACTCTCTCTCTCTTTAACTTTATATTATGGAGAATTTCCAACACACAGAGAAAGACTCTGCTGTGACGAGCTGTCATGTACTTGTCATCCAATTTCAAGAGTCCACCGGTGGCCCTTCCTGTTTCATCTGTCTCTTTGCCCATGTCCCCCCTCTTGGTGTTATTCTGAAGCAAATCCCAGTTATCAGGTAATTTTTCATCTGTAAATCTCTCTCTCTGACCTCTAAAAGAAAAGGCCAGGGAGGCACGGTGGTGCATGCCTGTAAGCTCAGTCCTTTGGGAGGCCAAGGCAGAAGGATCATTCGAGGCCAGGAGTTTAACACCAGCCTGGGCAACATAGCAAGATCATATCTCTAAAAAATACCCCCCAAACAATTTGCCAGGTGTGGTGGCACGCACCTATGGTCCCAGCTACTTAGGAGGCTGAGGCAGGAGGACCATTTGAGCTCAGGAGTTTGAGGTTGCTGTGAGCTATGATGAAGCCACTGCTCTCTGGCCTATGCAACAGAGCAAGACCCTGTCTCGGGAAAAAAAACCTTTTAATTATTCTACTTCGTGAAATATTGACATAATCATAGGTAGGAGAATTTAATCTTATCACTTATGAATGTTCAATCAGTTGTGTATGGCTTTATAGAGCTATGAAAATACAAATTTTCAGTTTTTAGATATTTTTAGTTTACATTTAACATTGCCTTCCTAGTAATCATGGTATAAAGGAAGTTTGGGAGGACTTCACTTTGACCATTTTAATTCTTTTTAAAGTATCACTCTGGGCTCGGCGCCTGTGGCTCAAGCGGCTAAGGCACCAGCCACATACAACTAAGGTGGCAGGTTCGAATCCCCAGCCCGGGCCTGCCAAACAACAATGA